GTAATCCAGCTTCTACCTTAACTGTACTCGTGTGTTTTCAGTCCATTCTCTGCCCAGAAGCAACTCTGTCCCCTTTCAGTCTAAACAACACAAATTCTTTCACCTTTGTGTCAGTTCTCCAAATATTTTCTAATCAACTGGCTCTCCACTGCCCAAATGGACTCCCAGCCATAACTCCAATACAAACTTGCTCTACCAAATCCGTTAACCACTCGCAGAAGCCTACCGTTTAGTCACCTTTTGTGACTACCCTCTAAAAATGCGAATCTTTCCCACCCAGACACACAAGCTATTTGTCACACTACCCAGTTTAGCTCTGACATTGCACTCTTCTTTATAGACTGCACTGATCCGTAGTTCCTCCTAGACAGGAAAATTATTCCTGTTACTCCAATAATTTGGAAAAGGGGTCTTTACTCTCTGCTCCACTGAGGCATCTTGGGTTCAGAGAGACTAAATGGTTGCATGAGGGTGAGGGGGTCCCTGACTGGGTCCTGGAAGGTGGCAAAGTCTTTCATCCGGCTCTTTGCTGTAGGATCCCTGGGGCATGCTCTAGCCCACAGCAGAAAAACATGCAGAGCAGCATTGTTTTATTCCCTTAGCACATCAAGAAGGTGGGTAACCAGTGCCAAGGCTGACTAGGCTCCCCAGACAAAATACAGAGCCAATGGATTTGAGGGCAAATTCGTGAAATGTGATACGCTAAAAAGATGGGATCGATAGATATCAAATCTTTCCGTAAGAGGCAGAGCCTGTGATAAAACAAACTGTAAGTCTGTATAACAGGAAAAAATCAGCAATTTGCTCCATGCAATTAACCCTGGGGCCTGCAAAGCAAACACATCTTCATTTAAATGGAGTGTCTTACAAATGGTTCCATTTCTACCCTTTGTAAGAGTGCCCTCAAAAATCAAGTAGACAGGATTATCAGTGACCACACATTACAGCACAAGGATGTCAGTATAGTCAATCTAGTATTGCTTTCTAGAGAAGGAGATAAAACTGCCTGAATAAGGTTTTCTATTGTTATTATTATTTTATTCACATAAGAAGATTGAATATGCATTGTCATTAGATCAGCCCAAGATCAGTTTTTTCTTCCAATTTTTCAGTTTGCACATAAAAATGGGGAAAAAAAAATTATTAGTATGATTTTAAGGAAAACTTAGTTTTCTTACGGAAAGTAACCTTAAAGCATTCTGAAACTGATGCTATAGACGCCTCGTGTTACATATGAGAAGTGGCAATCGGCCATCTTACAGCAAAGAACTCTACTGACTTTACCTGTGAGAATTATGTTGTTATATCTTTTTCCCCTCCAGTTAGTATAACAGAAACTACACAGCTTAATCTGCATTCTAAAAATTCATTTGGGGTAGCTACAAAAAGCTGAACTACACTTCAACGATAAGAGGAACATTCAGAATTTGGTATCACTCATGGTTCTCACATTTAACTCCAAAAAGTAATTTCTGAAACACACAAGGAGCTGCCACAGAAACTGTTATGTACGCCAGAATGGAGGTACCCAGTACTGAAGGCATAAGAAGCATGTGCGAAAGAATTAGCTGCAGTGCAAGGCAAAATATGACAAGAGTATCCAATATTTATTGCAAAGCAAGAAAGTGATCCTATGTAACAGCAAATGGGCCAGTCAAGCAGAATTCTGTTTGTAGGTAGACAGATAGATTAACAGCATGATAATACCTGTGCAAGGATATCTGCATAATTTGCCAGTATGAAAAACTACATTTTATCAGTTTCTGCACATGACTATCTTCCATATAACTGAGAAATTAATAAGGCTTCCAATAAATGCTTTAGCATATGTTCAACAAATTGCTTACTATCAAGATATTACCAGATTTATGCTAATTCAAGATTATTCCCAGTATAATAAAATACTGAAACTTCCTTGTTTGCCCTATTACCTAGCTAAAATATGACTTTCAATGATTTTGAGGCTGCCAGTCACTTCTAAAGCTGTTGTTATCCCAAAATTAAAGGTTGAGTTTAGTTTTGTTTTACAATCTCAGTAAATAAAATATTTTAGGCTAGATGTTTGTAGCAGTGTAACTGTATTACTAATGGGCATGAACGTGCTTCTTCTGTCATTAATTAAGTTCTCATTTCAGGTCTGACTTCTTTAGCACAAAACTACCGCTAACAAAAGTAGTATTGAATTATTGCTAAGACATGTATTCATGCAATTAGGAAACTCCTTTTTGAGTTGGAGACTTCTTATTAAATAATAGAATTAATGTAAATACCAAATGATGATAATTGAAAAAGCAATGGCACACTTTTGATACTCTGCTTGGGGAATTATGAAACAGGAGATCTAGCAAAAGAAAGGACTCATTTGTGACACAGGTATGGTATTTTTAGTTAGATTTTGTTTACAATACTTCATAACATCACATAAGGGACGAATTTTCTATTTTTCTATTACTTATGTAAAATTAAAGTACCTTAGTACTGAGGCAGGATTTACCTTGGTAAGAGCTCTTGTATTGAAAAATTGGTTCTTTACTAGTCTTACAAGCAGAAGATATAATTACTAGCAACAATGGAAAAACTCGGGTAAATAAGCAGCTTGGGAAAACCTTATATTTCATTAAAATATTATAATGGCTTTGCAAAACATTTCAAAACTTTTCTCTTGATTATTTTTATTCACCATTCAGGAAATAAATTTTCAAGCTATTTGGTGTAGCTAGCACACATCTTTCTGCAGGAAATGAATACGAAACTTTCTTGTGTGCTGCTTTTAAGGGCATGGATCACTGAGCTATCTCTCCTCTTCCTAGCAGTGCTCTTTGCATCTGGTCTTCTTTCTGTTTAAAGCCCTTCTTCTACTCTGAGCCCCTTCCCACAACATACTTCATAAGGTTATTTTCAAAATCCAGGATCAACGTTTCCCAAACATTCATCACAACCAGGAACACTGAGGAATTATAGAAAAAAGCAGCATCAGCAGTAGCAAAGTTCCTCGAGGACAAGAGCAGCAGCTGTAATCACTAGCTAGAAGGGTTTCCTTTGGCCAGAGAACAGCTAACTACCTTTAATTGCTGTCAGGAGCTCAATCCACTCTCCAGAGGAGGTGAGGAGAGGATGGGTATGGAGGGGAAGCAGGTGTTTACAGCTGCAGCCAGTTGTACAGCTGGTTCTTATTCCTCCATCCTGGCAGGACTGAACTGCAGCTGCAGGGAATCACACAAAGACAGATGACCCCCAAAAAGAGAATTACCTTTTCAAAAAGTTTGAGAAAAATAAACATGATGATTTGAGAGGGTGATGCAAAAAGTTTCTCTGCCACCTGCTTCTTGCCAAAAGGACGCTAGGCAGCTTCTAGTGAAGGGAGCTGGTCCCTAGACACTCAACAATTCCATTCCTTAAACAGGCTCTTGTAGTATCATTTGAAAGACAGCATCTTATGTGTTCACAAGCAGCTTTGATGGGATTTGTTGCTGCACAGAATGAAGGGCTCTGTATCTGTCAGCTTCATCTGGACTAATTTTCAATACTACACAAACTTAAGCACAGAAACAGCTTCCACTTATGAAGGCGGTTCTTTCATCGGAGTCCGGAAGATGAACCCCAGTGATCAGGACGGAGGGAACAACTTGAATCGTTAGGCATTGCCCTTTAGAGCTGACTGTTTCAAGGCTGACAGCTGCTGTTCCCTCCTTTGTTTAAGAATAAATTTCTCTTTCTGTGTTTCCTACCCTGACTTTATATTCAAACAGCTCTAGCTCAACTAGTCATAATACTTCCAATGTCTTCAGAAGTTAAAGAAATCACACATTGTAAGAAGCGTTTACTGAAGTTATAGGACTAAGTCCTTTTTTCTTAGCTCTTGCGGAGCTTGATAACACAGAAGATAATGCAGGTACCAAATTTAGCATTTAGATGCCAAGATCACCCTTTAATGCATATTTCATGAATTTTAAAGGATTTTGAAATCTAGTAGAGATGGAGCTTTCTTTTCTGGCAGCCATTTTAGTAAACTATATTGAGGATGGACATGAAATGTTCTGAATAGGAGAATTCTCCTCTACAATGGTCAGGAAGACAAACTCATCAGAAAATTGAAACAAAAATTTACTATGAATGTAAGCTAATAATTATATTATTGAGATGACTAGGTCCTTATTTGATTATTCGTTCAAATTCACCTCCCTTTCCAAAGTTTATCTTTTTTCTTGAAAAGATCTCTCATAGTGGTTACTGCAAACATTTCCACTTTATAAGGAAGAGTTACTTCTGAAGAAGCGATCTCAGAGCCAAGAATGAAATCCTATCTCATCTGAAGTTTAATGGGATAGTATATTGTCCTTATTGCTCTAGCATATTGCACTATTAAATTGCCATTATTTAGGAAGGATTATTTAAGTTAAAAAAAAAAAAAAAAAAGATGTTATGCTTAGTTCCACCAATACTGAAGGGAAAACAAGCACTGCAAGGGAAGAGAACTGATTAAAAAGAAATGTGGTTGTTATACATGATAGGACAGGAATCAAGAAAATGATTCCTCTATTCTTGGACTAAAGCAATTCTTTTTTATAAAGAAAATAGGCAGGTGATATTAAGTATAACTTCATTCAAATACAACAAAGATCCCTGATTTTCCAATGTTTATCTTTCACTTCATCCAAAAAATAACTTATCATGTACCTGATCTTGGCAAAGAGAAGCTCTATTGATAAAATAACATTTTGCCAAGTTTAAAGGCATTGGTGTAAGTCAAATAATGTAGGCAAATTCTGTATAGTTAGTTAAAGTTAACTGCAGTCTATTATAATTACAATGATCACTGCTGTTCTCTACTTCTAGCAGTCACTAGATGAGACTATTTTCATCATTAAAAGAAAACAAGAAGGCAACTCCACCCCTGCCCACAGCTCCATCTCCATATCAAGCATCTCCATATCAGCTCCATCTCCATATCCATTCTCTTATCAAGAACACAGCAGAAGAACACAGGATTATTGCCTTACCTCAATTTTTTCCCATATGGTTTCATAATTCTCTTGATGTTGTATATCTTGCATCAGTTGATGAATTAAAGCTGATTTATTTGAGGCAGAAGTCTCATTCTCAGTGGGCTGAGTGACAGCAGTCCTTTCTGACTTTTCTTCAATGTATTTTTTAATGCAAGATACAGGCATACAAAGATCTTCATCAGAGGGAATATCACTGAGAGGCCCAGATTCAATACTGTCACCTAAGGAGGATACTATATCACTTGAAGAGCTTGGTGAAATTCTACCCATTTTTTTGTGCTTTTTTGTCTGGTACATTGGATACATTTCTGAATCTGAGTTCATTTCTGACAGCTCCCAGTCATCAATGTTTTGAATGGTTTCTCTTCTGGGCTTTTGGGGCAGCAACTTTGTCAAATTTTCTAGTTTTAAAGCTAATACTTCAGTCTGTTTGAGATGTGAAGGAAGTGCTAAATATTCATCAGATCCATACCAGACCTCACCATCTTTACTGTTTTTTTGAGCATAGCTTGGTATTGAGGAGAAGCTTTTATTATTCTTTCTTCTTAGTAGAATTGGTGATGAGTTGGTAAGCTCAGAACCAGCTGAGGAAGAACTCTTTTGGCTACGTGTTGGTGAATTAAAAGGCTCAGTTTTACCTTGTGATTGCCCATTTGGGTCTCTCTGGTTACAAGAATCTGATGATGCAGAAGAATCTGTTTCCGTCTCCTCCAGAGACTGAGAGTTATGAGAAGTAATTCCATTTTGTAGAGAAGAATGTCCTCTTTTTTTGACTTGTATTGGTGGAGGCATTTTACACATACCTCCAGGTGTTCTGCCAGCTTTCACTTTCTCTGGAGAGTCATGAGACTTCTTGTGCTTTGTTTTTTCTTTACAGGTGTAGAAAGTAGACTTCCCTAGACTTATAGGACTGTCCTTAAAGTGATTTTTTATTGTGTATTCAAGATTTCTATCACCTATTGTATTTAAGCAATCATATGACTGACTAACTGCAGATGGACTGTTAGTGTAGGGTGACTGTAAAGCCAAGCAAAGCTTGGACCTGTCTGGTGGATCTAACAATGAGGGTGTACTTCTACTCATTTCATTTTTAACTATCTGAGAGATTTGCCTTTTTAAATCATTGGCTTCCATATAATCTTTAAACACATCATCTTTCAGAAATAGACCTCTTTTTGGCAGTGTAGGCTGCGTAGGGGAGTCTTCGTTATAGTTAAAGCAGTCTCTTATGGACCTCTTCGGAGTTGAGTTTTCACAGTGAGAGTGTTTGATTTTTTCACTGGTGTGCTGTGGAAGATTGCATTCTGGTTTCTTTAATGTGGAAACTGGTTTGCTATCAGTAGTTAAAACACCATCTTCAGAGCAAGGTCCTTTAGAAAGAGAGGAGTTCGCAGAAGGAGATACTAGTGAGAGCTCATGTGGTGCTTTCCTGTCTTTGCTTTCTTCTCCATCTTCTGCTGAAAGAGGTACATGGGTTTCTTTCTCGTTTAATGCTTCATTACACTGGGAAGCAATGGAATCAGTCGCTACTGCAAGTAAACCCACACTTCTGATAAGTCCTGGAAAGTCCTTATCCATCTCACTATAGTTCCAGGATTCAAATGATTTTGCTTTCCCTTGGCTGGAGGTCATATCATCCAGAGCACCAAGCAAATCCTCACTAGGACTGTAGTCAGATAGTTCAAATGCAGTAATACCACAATCCAGTGACAAGTAATTTTGAGAACATTTGATGGTTAACTGTCCAGAATCATCAACTTCAGTTAAAGAGTCAAGACGGTCCTGAAATAGACAAAGAAATGGTACTTTTTTAGAAGATTAATTTTCATAGACAGCACACACAAAGTAACAAACTATCAGCTTCAATGTTTCACTGCCTAACATCTAGAAAAGCATTCATCACTGACCTGCCTGTTTTTGCAGTACCCTGTAGATGAGCAAACCATTCAAAAGTATTTGAGAATTAAAAATGGCAGTAAATTGAAAAATGCTTAGTTTCAGTCTGGTGGAGCAAGTTACATAAAAATAGCAACTCACTTTTGTATTGTATTTGTACTTTTGTATTGGTATTATCCTCCTTAAATTCTACTCTCAGTTCTGCTTACTCTGTAGGGGGGACTCAGAAATTCCATACAACAGACTCGTAGCATTTCCTGTGTTAACTACCTTAAACAGGAGGGAGGGGATCTTGGGGACTGCTGAGTATGTCAGCTACCTTGTTAATCTTGTATTCTCAGAAGTCCATGCTGCTCTATGGTCTTTCGGTTGATTGCCAGAATGTTTTTTCAAAGCATCATCTAGGAATGACAGACATTTCTTCCCATATTTATGAGATAGAGGTTGCTAACTACATTTCACTTTTTTGTAGCATTATCAACTGAGGATTTATCTGCTGGATATTTGGAGCACAAATGGAGAACAGCTCAAGGAAAAGAAACTATGGTCAGGAATCCTAAACCTCTGGCTTGCCATGTCCCCTTGTCAGCAGCTTCTCAATGGAAGTCCTTCAATCTCAGAAACACAGACATAGTCAGAGGAGACCATCTCAGGTGGCAAATGAGATTTTAAGATCTAAGTCAAACTAATGTTTATAAATATTTTGGTGACTTATTTGAAGGACACTAAAAAAATCTGACTACATTAAGATCCAAAAGCAGCTTGATGTATAACAATCACAGCAAAATTATGTTTAGTCAACAGTTTATAAACATATTTTTAGTAGATTATTTAATGTTCTAACACCTAGGCAGGCCTCAACTATTTCCAGATCCCAGCATGCAATTTGAAATGTAGGAATCAAATAATTCTGAAACAATTTCTGTTCTTATTTACACTGGTGTACACCTTAAGTAACTCCATGAAACTATCTAGAACGAGAAATTCGCAGAGCATGTCAATTGAACAAAAGAAGGCGAAAAGCAGAATTAAAAATAAAAAAGCCAACATTAGCCCAAACTCTTATAGAAACTACTTAAAAAACATCATAAAGGGCAGAAACTCGTGTTTTAGGATTCTAACTTTAGCTGCCTAAATCAGTATACTGGTCCTTCTACCGAGGTTTAGTTTTGATAATAGAGTTTTTTAAAGCAAACTCTTGGGTATTCACAATAGGTTCCTGTCTGAATCGTTCTCTGGAGCAGCTTGTCTCACTACACTGCCTAAACCCATAGTTTAAGGACTTCAAGCATCATGCCTGAAGAAGGTGCAATAACTCCACAATCTCTTCATCTCACAATAAACCACTTGGATTTTGGTCTGAACAAGAATAGTCTCAATAAAGAAGGCTATTGTTTGCGATCTTCTGTAAACATATGTTTGAGCCGTGTACTCTGTCCACTCCACAAAGTAAAAATATAAAAAATCCTCCAGCTAAAAATATTATTTATAGAAAAGATTGATTAGAAAGTTATTTATCAACCATAATCTTGGACACTGAAAATATCTTTTATTTAGCACTTTCCATCCAGATGTAGAACCTATGCCACAAATTGTACATTGTCAATACTCCAGAATTAAAAGGGGAAGTTTCTATAAATCTGTCAAATTTATATTTTGGAGCTGCATTTATTAAGGAAAATAATGACTAAACAATGATCAGTATTACAGCTGCATTTTCCCTCTAATCTCAGGAAAAGATTAGGAACTGTAAAACCATATATAAATCAAAACCCTTTCCAAGGCCCTAAGGGCCTTCATTTCTCCTGAGTAATGAGCTCCATTCCTTCAGCTCTTAAAAATGTGTTTATTAACATTAATAAAATTTACAATCACGTGCATTAAACCATGTTGGTTGGTCATTTTCAAAGCAGCCTCTTAAATGTGTGTTTGAGAGGAGCGTTATTTAATGCCAGTATTACCATGGTTTTATTATTGTTTTTATTTCAGAAAAATATTACATTTAATTATTTGCATGGCTACCAATAGGAATGCCTTAGTTAAAAAAATCTGTCCCTTTTCACATAGTAATGCTTCCTGTAAAGCTCTGTAGGATGTTTTCAATACCTTCTTGTATTTATATTTAAACCAGCACAATTCTGCATTTTTTTTTACTGTTTCAAATGAGCTAATTTAGTTTGTAAGATATTTCTTTTGTGACTTTACCAACTGTTTGAGAACATCAGGATTCACTGTATTTAACATAGCCTTATACTGATCCTTTCCATATTTCCTGGCTTTATCAATTGTGAAATAAAACTCACAGGTTAGGCTCAGCTGGACAGAACTCAAGCTGCACAGAACTCATTTTTCTTTCCTTCTTATCTATCTCTGGGTAATTCCTGAAGGAGAAATGGTCCTTCAAAATCTTATCTTCCCAAAGTATTTTGTTAAAAAAAGTATTTTCTTAATTTGGCATCTCCATCACGGCAGGCAGCTTGCCTCACTGGTTCCTCTATTTCCTCCAAGCCATGAAACTTTTTTTGCCCTTTCCTGCTGGCACCTTATTCAGTATGGCACTGCTGAGATAGCCAAAAGCACAGTTACTGCCTGCCCAGTTAATGAGCTGGGTTCCTAACCAAACCAGTACAGTCTGTGCTGTACACTTTTATGTTTTGGTAGCTACTCTACCAGTGTTATCCCTGTTCATTATGTGGAGGCTAGCTTGTGCGCATTTATGTGTGTTACAGCTACAGGGTAAATATAGCCCAGGCGGGACTTTTGCGATGTGGTTGACTGTACAGTCTATGAACTGAGAGAGCAGTGAATATTAACGAGATGAGGCTGTCTCACTGAACACAAAAGAAACCTTGGCAGGTCACTTCTTCCATGGGGCTCCTCAGTTAATACTGGCAGCCAAAGCTGCTCTTCACCATTACGCAGAAGACAGCTGACATAAGGAGCGAGCCAAACATTTTGTGAAATGATAGGTTCATGGACTACAGAAAAGCATAACATTTGCTGTACTGGTTCAGATCAAATTTCTGTCTTGCCCAGTATCCTGTCTCTGCATCAGTTCTAAACATTTTCTGCTAGCTGAGCTGTAAGACATGGGTATACATACATGGTCCTTCCACACACAACATTTCTACCTGCACTCCCAGCTTCTACCAAGGAGCAGCATAGGGAGTTCCTCATCTGGAGGTTATAATTCCTCCTATCTTTGCTTCGTTTTCACATATTTTTTTTAACTTCTTTCTAATTCTAAGTGTCCTATGGTAGTGAATTCCAAAATAGATGTCTTTGTTGTGTGTGAAAGTTTCCTTCTACTCATTTCAAACCAGATGACTTCTCAATCTTTGGAGAAAAAAATAAGCTGTCATTCCCGGCTCGTAATCCCCAAGGAGTACTGAAAATTAGGAGAATGATTCTCCAAGGAAAGGTTATCTGTATGGGCAAAGATTTCTAAGTTTGCTGAAACAGTCTCACTATTCACATATGCATGAAAATCCCTAATAGATAATACTTGTATCATGAGGCACTTACTAGTCCCACAATGTAGTCCTGTCTGGGAAAGGATGTGGGGAAAACACCAAAAAAAAGGTAGATAAGAGTAGGTACAATTGTCTCTACGTTACATTTTATTTATTTATTTATTTTCATCAAATAAAGCCACTACCATTATATCCAATGAAAAGCTTGAATAAATACCTGAAGGTTAAAAGCTGCAGAGCAATTTCTGGGAAACTATTCAAGCAATAGGGCAGAAACTTAATATTAATATTGTGTTCCTGCTATTGCTAGCCATTAATTTTATCAAATATTATTTATGGTTTAGTTGAAAAAAAGATTCGTGTCAGGATATTTTGTCTTTTGTATTACCATATAAGCCTATCTGGCAACATGTTTTTTCCCCACTGAAAAATAATCTATCCTTCCTCAGTCAGTCCTCCCCTGTATTGGAGGGATGTTTTTTGTAGCAGTTGTAATCAGAACCAGGTGGGACATTTCCTGTTTCTTAGTATCTGAATCTGCCCTTTTCTTATGTCTTGAAATCACCATGCTCATGTAATAAAATAACGGCTTCACCCTAATTCACCACTCTGGATATTCAGACAAGTGTGGATTTCCTTCAGACTTGCCCAGAGGTGGTTTACCAGCAACAGCAAAGCAGAAACTGAATCTGAAGCACCAGGTATGTATACATCAGGAAGAGGGGGTGTGGAAGGTGGGCCTGGGCATATCTGAGTATTGATTTCAGGACCACCCACTCTGTTGTGCCAAAGGCAAATATAAAACCCAACAGGGAGCAGAGAAACATGCACATTCTCTTTAAACTTGAGTGATCTGAAATGCGGGACATGTTTAGGGGACTTCTGAATTCCTCTGTAACACAGGTCGCAGAATCTCACTGCATTGATCTAGAGGTCTCTTTCTGTAAATGTATCTAATCCTAACAAAAGAATTTTATCCTAATCTTAGGACTTTCAGCAGATGAAGAATCCTCTACACGCTAAGGTAAATTCTATTAACCATTAATTACCCTAACTATTAAAAATGTGCATCTTCTTTCAGTTTTAAAAATTGGGCCAATAGTATCCTTCTAACTAAGGTAATTTAGTAATGATGAATTCAAAGGAAAAAGCATTTTAGTCAAATGAATCCAGATTTACAAAGCAATTAAATGCATGTGAATTTGAAACCCCTTTGGAGTAAAAAATGTATGGTTCATGCATCGTTGTTTCTCAGACAAAATGTGTGACTGTTTAAAGACATGTTGCAGAATTGCCACTCAAACAAATTAAAGGCCATGCTCTCTGCTTTAAAGCAATATTAACCTAGTCTGGAAAGTTTTGGAAAACATTGTGTAAGTGTCAGGTTTGCCTATGGAAGAAGGGAAATGTCTAAGCTCTTCATTAAAGAATTCATTGCACATAAAAATTGAGTTTTGAATTGCATATGAGCCTTAAAGATCAAGGACTTTGGATCAGATGCACCTCTGTGAGTGTTTCCAATCCTTAATGAAGGCTATTTCAATCCAGAGAAAACATTGCTAGCCACTAGCTATGAAAGTTGACCTTAATTTGCTTTAATTTGGTTCAACAAGAACAGATATCAGCTGAAGACATTTAAAACAAAAAATTAGCAAAATATCTAGAAGACAAGTAAGCTATCCTTAAAATTGTTATCCTAGCAATTTTAAATGTGCAACAGGGATGAGCTGCTTCAAATACAGATGAAATTCTCAAAATTGAATTTAATTACTATACCTCCTTAGTCTCTTCAGAAAATGCTTGCAGAATATCAGTCTGCCTGGTGTAGTTTCCATTGGCGTCTTGTAGTCCCTGGAGAATACGCTCTCTCAGAACCAGAACAGAAACACGTAGCTGGTGCCAGAGTAGTTGTACAGTATGGATATCGACTATCACATTGACAGAGTAAGACAGAAGCTTCAGGGAAAACTCTGTCTCTAGTAGAGCATGAATTTGTTCAACATGATCAGATATATCTTCACAAATATCCTGTAATGGAAAAATAAAGTAGATATTTAGCTACAGGCATGGTCCTTTCATGGATCAGCTCTACTTTTCATGTACTTTTTATTAAATGCAGAATAGATTATTTCGGAGAGGAAAGACAATGTAATTAATACATCCAGGGTTCTCTTTTTTTTTTTTTTTTATTATTTATGGCAATGCTACAGCAACTGAACCAGCAGCTGTCCTGTTTGGCAAGACTGCTCAGTAAGTGCAGAGACAGCATACAATAAAGGATGGCACAACAAAATCACATGAATCAGAAGCAGAAAACTAACACTGTAAAGTGACATCCTAGAGGACAGCAATAGGAATAAAAGTGATAAGATTGCCACAAGCAGTCTCTCTGCTTCCCTCCCCCCAGTTAAAATGCAAAGAATCTGATCTGTGCCACCATCAACAAAATTCTTTTGAACAGAATTTAACTTTTAATCTAGCTTCTATAGCGAAGTAGGGCAAAAGTCTGGGATAGACTCAGTGTGGATAAGCTATTTTGAGATCCATTGCTGACTGTTGTGATAGAGGGCGCTAACTTTTGCATAGCCTTGTTCTGGACTCAAAATTGAACAGAAGAAGATGGGTGGAGAAGGAGAAAGAGGGAAAGCAGAGAAGCTGTGAAGAGTTGTGTTGAGAAAGCAGAGAAAAAAAAAAAGTTACCAGGTTATAAAACTGAGATTTTGATGGGATGCTATCCTCCAAATTTAACAATTAATGTTCCAGATTTCTAAACTGTGCTGCATACAGCGTAAAATCTTTACAATCTAGTTTTAATTTTCTTTGTTAAAGGGTAAGTCACAAGACTAAAGAATATTTAGGCATATACTATTGAGCGAACAACACTGCTTTATAACAATTCTGTTTGAAAACTATGTGTAAAAGGCATGTTATAAACAAATAAGGAAATGTGATTAAAATACTGAAAAAAAATTCACACTGGTTCCTAGAAGTTTTTTCCCGTACATCTGTGGCATATATTTAAAGGTGACTTAATAGCTTATGTTAAATCCAAGACTTATTTCTTTTAAAAAAAACATAAAGAAATTATTTTAATTCAAACTTTCAGAAATGTCCTTTTCAGTATATGCATAACATCAATAAAAATGAGAATAAACAACATAACTTTGATTTATTTCAAATTTGCTACCGAACAGTTCTATCAGACAATTACAATGAAACCTTATGTCTCTGATGATACTCTTGTAGTTTTGTACAGCAGTAGAATAACAAGAAAATCAGTAAAGCTGATTCTTTCTAAATTAGTAATACAATACAGTAATTTTTATCAGTTCAGCTTTGACATCTTCAGTCTGAAAGTAAAGCCAAATTATTGAATATGTAATTGTATGTATGTAAAAAATTAAACCAAAATCAAATCCCTAGATAATATTAAATCATTTTAGTACAGCAGATAGCACGCTGTTAGTCCTTGAGAAACTATTATGGTTGAGTACCATCAGTAGTTACTCATTTTAATAAAGCACTGACAGCTAAATCAAGTCCCCTCCAGGAGCAGCTCTCAGAAATGCCAGAGATGAGCACAAAACATTGGAGTTTCAATGAGCAGAGTTTGGGGGCTGCCTTGAGAGAAGGGCAGTATCTCTTCCCCTCTATCCTCAGTCCCCTTGTTGTGACAACCAGCATCTATATTTGCAAGTACAAAACACACAGCCTCGCCTGGCAACCCATAGGGCTGCACGTGCTCAGGGCTTCAAATATCCACACACTTCCAGGTGAGCAAATGGATGCTCGAGTTATTAGATTAGTGTGCTAATCTAATTCTACAGACACGCAGACAAAGCTAAAGCTCTCAGCAAAATCTTTTCCAAGCTTTGGAAAAGGTTATTATTATCCATTTATCCAACTACAACTGAAACTTGACTGAAAAGCACAGCTGTATTTCTATGTTGTTTCAAATGTTTTAAAGAATATTTTTAGTGAATTAGTTTGACTGAATTTGCATTCGCTTCTCCAATGTTGTTCATGTCTTTTTCCTCTTGGCCATAAAGCAGTTCAATTTTAATTTCAGGGATTAAAAAATAGGTTGTTGCCCAGTAACTGTAACTTTGTAAATTAGACTCAATCTATAGAAAAATACTTAATATATCTTCAGTTAGACTACTCATGTGAATGAGCTTAAGTTTGTGCCAACTTGCAAAACAAGTTTTCATTATTTTCCAGCTTCACTCACACAGTTACATGCTGAATTCAGCTGCCATAAAAATTCTCAGAGAGGTTGAAAACACAAAACTATAAGAAGAAAGTATTAACAATGAGCAAGTGTCTCCTGACAATTGTTAGATAACGTACTGAAAATACTGGCTAATGAATCTAGATAATACTCTAAATCAAGAGTTCAGACCCACACTTCAAACAAGTTTTCTCTTGAGCTACCATTGTGCTAGCTACCAAAGCATCTCAAATTTCTGAAGTAGACAAACTTTCCACAACAACACAGAAAATTTTGTACCGAAATGCAAATCCCAGCACCACTAGAGGTTTGAAAGCACATGTTAATTTTACATGGCTTGTTGCAAGTTGCTCATTTTCCTCAAAAAGCAAAGTCTGAAATCCTTACAGACTACTGCAAGCATAGCAGCAGCCAAATGCTTTACCTACTAACAAGATAATTAACTGCTCTTGTCACTTTCAGTAACGTGGCGCAGACCTAAGGCCGACCTTGTCCATATCCAAGTCAAGGTCACATACTCTGATCTTAACATATAAGACTACCATCTCAGTCAGAGACAAAGTACCAGCTCTTAAAGGATTTAGGTTTTAGAAGGAGTGGGTGGCCAAAAGACAGGAAGCTATTTTCTGAGTGGCTGAAGGAAAGCCAGGAAGGAAATGGAGTTCCTACATACCTTTTCGTAATGTATAAACTCTGAGCTCCATTTTCTGACTTTATCATCAGCTCCCTCTCCCTTCTGGCGTGGAATTATTATAGCATTCACTGTAGTCTCGTCTTTACTTGCATGGTAGAATAGAAAGGATTTTTTCCTTTGCTGGTAAATATGTTCACGTGACATGATCTTTAGGGATGTTGGTTTGGTTTTATTTTTCTTCTCTTCCTATTAGATGAAAATCTGATCGAACCATTCAGGAAGTCTGATTTAATTTGCAACAGGGCCAGGCATAGATTTAAAGTGATTTAACTCGCCTATTAATAGTTCCAGCTATTCAACGTTCAGAAGCCCTGGACAAATGTCTACAGTGCATGCACAAGTTCAATATGTCCAGTTCAATATTACATATATGCTGTGCAGTCCACCTGCAGATGCACTCTAAGTCTGAAAACAGACAAGAGTAGGCTGGATTCACTGTGTGCTTACAGAATGGTAGCATTAATGCAACAATCTTACTGAACGTGCACTAACCGCTTGTGTGATAGCTAGTAATTGATAAGCAGTCCCCGATATTCAGACTCTGCATGCATGGCCCATGGTCATATATCAGTCTATTGGGTATTTCTTGAAAAAAATTTTAGTAGCCATAAGTTGACATTCCTGCATCACATAACATTGTTTTGATGGGTGACTTCCGTTTCAGCTGAGTCTGTAGCCATTGTCAAAAGACCTGGATTTCATTTCACCACAGGCCAGGTTCCTGGATAAAAAGTATTAGACCTGGCTTTGTGGGAAGTCCATCTTACATAAAGTTTGGAAAAAAGAATTTAGGCCCCTACTAATATCCCCTTTCCTTGTTTTTTAACTGTCATATGATGATGGGAAGGTGAAGCTGTGCAAAGGACAGAAGAATAGTTGTGTATAGGCTAATGCCAGCCCTTTACCAAGAGAAGATGATTATGAAGAAATGATCACTTTTGCCATAGAAGTTAATGCTGATTAGTCCTCAGCAGAAAAGCATTAATAAAGCTGCAGCCTATTTACTTGCATCTTTTCTTTACACTTGCCTGGCACAAAGCAGCATATTGAGAGGAAACAATATAATGTCAAATCCAGTTGGCATTATCTAGTACAACATTTTCTCACTACTGTACCTGATGTCTAGATTTACATATAATTCAGCAAAATGAAATAATTATATCTAGCGCAGCTGTGAATTTAATCATTTTCTGTAATAATTAATGCAGTTCAAATACAGCACAAAAATGTCGTGTTATGTAAGATCCCGATTTTACTGAGGCTTGATATCAAGACCTGGTACAACATGGCCTCATTGTCCTCATTCTTCCTAACTCCTTGTAGGTGATTTAGCATTAGATAGAGCAAAACCAGTAGAACATTGTCACATGCCCTTTTTACACTTTGTATTTATAAGTAAAGAACAGCAGTATCACAAGATAGTACCCGAATGCTGTCATGAGTGCCAGTTGCTCTTACCAGAAGTGGCAGGTAGATAAAATAAACCACGTACTTTTAAGTGATAAGAAAACAGCATTTATATATTGGTATCTATTTCTAAATATGCATAGTTCCAGGACAACAGCAATAATATACAGCCTACAAATACAAGCATGGAAATCCTTCCCCATTTTATCAGTATATAGAATCATACCAGAAGCTATTATAGCCTGATTTTTAGAAAGCACCATTTCCAAAACAACTTTTTGTAATCATTAATCTCACACATCCACTAGGCATTTTTATTTTTACACAGTTTCATAGTGGTGTTAGGTGAAGATTTTGTCATCCTCTCATGGGCTATCCTGTAGCACTGACTGTGGAATTTCTTAGGCTACAGGGGTTGTACCCATTTGGCTGCCAACTGCCCACTTCACTCAGTCTTCCAGACAGCTGATCCTGTAATTTGCAGCTGCCGAATCCATCAGCCGGCTCATAGCCCTCCACATTAACTAAAATAGCCTGAACTGCAAACACTGCAGTAGACAAAGTGCATAAACAAACCCTCAAGAGTCAATGAAAACTAAGCTGTGATGTTGATTTTAAAAATTTTTTTTTCTCTGCTCTTCAATAAATTCTGTTAAGATGTACATGAAACTACTGAAAGATGAAAGGTTGCAATAT